ATTTTTTTATTCCATGGTGAAAACAATCAAAACAGAATTGTGAGATGTAAATGCAGAATTCTCAGAAAAAGTCAAAATTGCTAAATGAAAATTCAGAAAAGATGTAAACTCGCAATTACAATTTTATAACTTGCAACTGTGAGAAATAATCTCACAATTCTGAGAGAAAAAAGTTAGAATTGTGACATAAAAAGTTGCAATTTTTTTTATTCCATGGTGGAAACAAACAAAACAGAATCGACATGTAAACACATACTGTAATGTTTAGAAAAAAAGGTCAAAGAAATAAACTCGCAATTACAAGTATATAACTTGCAACAGTGAGAAATAATCTCGCAATTCTGAGAAAAAAAGTCTGAATTTTGACATTTAAACTTAAACCATTAAAATTGAATGGCAATTGTTGTCAATTAGCATGTATCAAGGTCTGTTAGTCTGACGTTGCAGAAATTGCACTGGCACGATTTCAGTTGGTCAACTAAAGAGTTTTTGGGATGTTTTAATAACAAAATTAAATGAGTGATTTAGTTTGAAAAGCTTTAAAAGTGCATGTATTTTTTTAAGTTCCACACATTTACAAATATAGTTGATTGATGTTAGAACAACTGAAGGTATTCCTGGGAGACAGCAGTTGTGTTATGTCTGTTATGAAGTGAGGTCAAATAGATAAAAGTGCATGGCAAGTTCAGAGCCTTCAGGTTCTGCTACATTTAGGGCTGTTGTATCCAAACATTTCCAGAGGTCTTCTGATCTGAAGTCCTAAGTGTCAGTCCTTGTTGCAGGCACTTTGCATTTTTTTTTTAAGTAAGGGGCAAAATATTTAGGCTTTCTTTGATGTGTTTTTATTTTTAAGACAGAAAATGGGCTCAGCATCACAGAAACAAGTAGATCAAGTAGACATCAAGTAAGTTTCAGACACTGTTTTCTTGTCTAAATAACTTATATGCAGTTTCCTTTTAACTAAAATATAATATTAAACCATAATCCTAAGCTATTATTACAATAGGATATATGTGTTATATGAACTTGCATTGAATTGTACATTCATTTTAAGAAGTTTATTAATTCTGGTGTAGTTGTCACCTGAAAGAAAACAAATAAAATTCAGTGCTTAAAGTGTAGGTAAAATATTTGAAGTAAGACATTCTCAATCAAAAGATCATTGACAAACAAACCATAAAGTTTTTCAAATGTATCTTCTATTGTCCAGCATCAAACAGCTTCTTCCTGCCCTCCATTCCAGACATG